CTGTTCTTCAGCATTTAATGATAAAAGGTATATGCTTATAAGTTTTCTATCGTTGCAGTACTTTAGTGGTTCATTCCACAATATTGGAACAATAATTCTACACCATTGACGATTTACAAGAAGACATGAAAATAAGTGTCTAGGGTAATTTTTAAGGTGTTTAAATATTTCTTCAAAGCATTCATTCGGTAAGAGTATCATTTTGAAAGAGGTGAAAGGTGATATTAAAGCCAAATATTTACTGATAAATGACTTAAAAATATCAAGGATCGTCCGGAGCGTAGCGGAAGGTATTTATTGTTTGTCCAGGTGATACAAAAGTTATACCATTTATAAAATCGAATTTCCTTTTTTGGATTGTATTACCGGCACAAATAAGTAAATCCCTATTGGCTTGTTTGGTTAATTCTTGACGTACTGAGGACTACCATGGTTGTTTTTCCAATTCTCCCAACATATCGTAAACAGTTGAGACTATTGTATTCCGGTTTGAGGACCAAGTGGAAGGTCCCAGCCATGTTTTGCAGGATTGAAAGTTAAATTCAAGTGAATAGAGAAATAGATACAAGAGAAATATTGTTGGTCTGTTAGTAAGCCGCATCAGTATCGAAAGATTTAAGATAAGTATAAAGAAAGAAGTCATACCTACAATCTTAACCCCACTCGCCAAATAAAACCACCAAGCCCATTCGTAGGTTACACAACTTACCCGATTGTGGAGCGACTGACTCGCCGTTTCGAGTTGTCACTATAAATTCAATTAAAATTGAAGCTTACTACTTTATAATGATCTTTGGACATGACGAGTGTGAAATTTTAAGCCTGTACTAGTTGGTTTGTTTTAGAACTCTACAATATTTTATAGCTTCTATTGAATTATTTATTTGTGCTAATTTGGTTTATGAATGCAGTTCATTATAAATCCAATTATAATTAACTTTTTATAATGAATCCTAAATATAACAAGCGTGAAATTTTAATTTATATTGGTAGAGTTTCGAAAAATGTGGATTTTGTATATTCGATAATTCGATATCATTGTGCACCATAATTAATTTTAAATCTGTTTGCGATTATTATTCAGTAACTAAGTCTATGTTTAGAATATATTTAGCAATTTATTCTGGACCAATAATATGATTTGTCTCTTAAATAACAATTATGAAATATATTGATGTGAAATTACGCACCTGGCCGTTATTTTGATGTACACAATTTCCAGAGAGCTAATGATTATTTTTGACAAATACAAACGATAAATTATTTTTTTTAAATTGTTAAAATTGATTCTTAGCTCTGGAAATTGTGTCTTGAAATAACGACTCGATAGTTATTTTGTAACAAGCAGTGGTGAACAAAATAATAATAATAATAATAATAAAGGATTTGAAATTGCCACTATTTCACAAGGACTCAGCGATTCAACTTTGGTTTTGTCCCATGATATTCGTTGAGAATTTTTATTGATTAATATATTAAAAAGATAAAAATTTTGGATTCCCACTCTGCTGGCTGGCCGATATATGAAAACCGATCATATGGCCTTATTTAAAAATCTTCAAAACCCGTTAGCGTAAGTGATTGTGCTGCTAAATCTAAAAATTTTGTGATAATATATGGCTTAAAATCTAGTAATAAGTTCTAAATCAGTATCGTTAAGAATTTTTTCTCGAGGTAGTACCAGACTAAAAGGAGATATAGGTAATGTATCATTACTTGAACTCGCTATTAATATACCATTAATAGTTACTAATCTCAATTTTGAAAAATCAGAAAAAGAAAATACAGTCCCCCCACTATCACCACCAATAGATGCCATCTTATCTACAAAAATCATGTCAGTTTGATAATCTCCCCATTCATTTACAAAAATCCCATCAAACGCATCTACATAACCACAAGAAACTGACGACATGACACCAGCCCTGCATAAATGCGCACCATGGCTAGATACGGGAACACCATCAGTGACAAATAATTCAACATATGAAGCATTTTTATCATTTCTTATGTTCGTTGACGGTTGAAGTAATTTACTCATTCTCTTTACGCTAATTAAGCCAAAGTCGTGTGGAGATGTAGAATGATCTACCAAGTCGCCAATTAATTTGGTTTTATCCATAGTGTAAAAATTTTTTCTCGATCTACTAAGATGATCCCCGTAACAATGACCCGCAGTTATAAGTAATGCTTGATTTCGATTTTTACTTCTTGCCCAAAAACCTACTGAACAAAAGAAGTCATCGACTTTATTATATATACCACCTCCAGATAATAACATGAGGCCTATTTTTCTCGTGTCTATATCCCTTTTAATGTGTGCTGAAGTAATTGTTGAACGAATGTCAAAATATATATCTGCATCATATCGTCTGGCAACTTCTACAAAGGTTTGCACACTTTGATCATCAAGTGATGATACAATTACAACAATGTTATTAAATCTTGAATGAATGCCAAAATATGTACCTTGCGGTGTAATTTGCTTAGCTACTATATCTAATTCTTTAAACGAGGATTTTAAATAAGTTAAGGATTTGTTGACTTTTCTAAAGTCCAAAAGCCTTCTATATTTTCTCACATCAGGTTTGAAGTTATATCACTCTTCTTAGCCATATTTACTGTATATATTATTACTGAATCACTTTTTGTATCTATATAA